ACTAGTCTGTTGTAAGATAGGTGCTACCCTTTTCAGTTCTGGTTAGCAGTTGTGCATGTTTTCTAGTTGTCTGCTTCCCGAATGCCTCTCTTAGAGGGAGTGGATGAAGAGTGCCCCCTGAAGCAGCCTGCATTGCTCCCTTTTTTCCACATGCCTACGGCTCACCTTTCTTTGTTACAGTGCTGTAAACAGTGGAAGGCTTCAAGATAAATTTCAATTTTTTAAAAAGTCAAGTGAACTTTCTTGCCCTCCATAAGAAATTATGTTTCTCCCCCCCTCTCCCTATCTCCCCCACCCCTTTTTAAATGAACTGTTCAAAACATGAGAAACAATTGAATGTGAAGGATGATGATTTTCAAAAACTGCTAGTAGGGAAAGGAATATGCTATGTTTTTCTGCAAGTCTAAAGGCCTTGGATGTTGGCATTCCTGGGTGCTTGTGTTCAAGAGTACACAATCTTTCAGAATATTTAGGGGGTTGGAGTTGTTCCTTTTTCTATACCAGGTTTTTGTTTAGAGCCAAGATTTCAATGCCAGGTACATGCTTTTTAATCTGTGAAAGCTCGTCTTTGTTTTAAACATTAGACAGACTGAAGGTTATATCCCACCTGTACAATAACTTATAGTTACCATTTTTGTATAAATATCTGATAAATGAAATTAATTAAAATATTTCTACATGGAGGTAGCCGTATCTTAGTAGATGATCTCATTTGCTACTTTATTCCCGAGTGCGAGCTCCGCCAGTGGAGGCACTCTCAGCGGTCGTCTCCTCAAAGGAAAGTCCTCGACACTCTTCCTCTTTTACACATGCTGGTTGGAAGACTACATCCTAATAGGTCCTACCTGTGCTGCCTCATGCTTCATTCTCCCCGGGGTGTCTTTCTGTTATCCATAGGGTGTCCTCTGTGTGCTCACCTGTTACTGGTGGAAGTGGAGTTCTTGGGATGCTGCAGGAACAAGAATTTCCTGAGGCCCCCATGGGAGGATGAGGCCTCCTGGAAAGCTTTATTGTTGATGTAACGTTAAGGGGGTTCCCCTCCAAGGTCCCATCTCCCTCCATCTCACCATGGGAGAAGTCCCATCTCGTCTTCAACAGGGCTAGAATGAAAGCCCCTGCCCAGAGTCTTTGCTCCACGTTAAAGCACAGTGCAGTCCAGCTTCTGTCTAGCTTCGCTTGCATTCCCAGCTGCACTCCATTGCGTGTGGGGTCTGCATGGCCCTGGTCCATGTAGCCTCTAGGGCCACATGGCAGGCTAGTGGGGGTCACAGAGCAAGTGAGTACAAGGAAGCAGGAGTGAAGTAAGAGGAAAAGGAAAGTTTTTTGTCTGGGGATTTTTACTAGGAGCTTAACCAATGAATCCTTCAGGATTTTGCCCGCTTGCAGCGGCTCCACCCTGTAGCCCATCCATGGTTCCCCAGGCTAGACTGAAAGGGAGGCACCTTCCCTACTTCACTCTGACCTCACTGCACATGTGCCCACCCCTCCTTCTGTGTGATCCCTTCCCTGCTGACCTGATCCATAGGGAATGGACCTGGGTCCCTGGGGAGTGTAAATTGCAGCTTCCTGGGGAAGCTGTCCAGATGGCTGAGCTTATAATGTCTGGCCTTCCTTTTGCTTTCTCCCTATATTAATATTACCTAGCTAGTTATGACGATAGCATTTCTATCACTTCTTACATTATCCTATCTTCTTTTCTTGTCCTATCAACGCACTCACAGCCAGCCATCCTCTATTCTTTTTCACCTTCAATTGTTTTAAAAAGACAATCTTTTCAAAAGAGAATTCTATATTCTGCACCTCATTTGCCTTAACCCTATGAATCTGGCCTTCTATCCCCACTCCTAAAGCCACTACTCTGAAATAACCAGTGACTTCCCCATGCCAACTCTGTGGCCTTTCCACTATAATCACATTAAGTCCTTCAGCATTTGGTAGAAACTCTCTCCTCTCATGGCTTCTAAGACCAGTGTTGTTTTCCTGGTCTTGCTATTTTTATATTCCTTTTCTGTATCCTGTCAAGGGGTCTTTATCTAACCCACCCTAAATACAGAGCTCCTTCAGTTTTCCAAGGTTTTATATTTGAACCCTTTCTCATCCCTCCCCTCCCCTCCCCTCCCCTCTCCCCCCTGCTCTATGTTAGTGTAGCCTCTCCATGGTTTTACTTAGCATCTCTATATGGGTAACTACCAGATTCACTTATCTGATACTAGCTTTTGATGGATGCTGACCAGCACATCCCACTGGCTTCCAGATATCTTCACTCACTCACCCGTTCCCTTACATTCATTGAGAACTTACTGAAAGATAAGTACTGCTCTAGAGCTGTGGAGACAGCAATGAACAAAACAAAGCCCTCGTCCCATAGAGCTTACATTCTAGGGAAAGAAAGAAGTATAAGCAAATTTAATACAAGATGTCAGCCCTGGCCAGTGTGGCTCAGTTGGCTGAGTGTCATCCCATGCACCAAAAGGTCGAGGGTTTAATTCCCAGTCAGGGCACACACCCGGGTTTCAGTTTGATCCCCAGGCAGGGGGCGTGCCGGAGGCAGCCAATGGATGTCTCTCTCTCCCATAGATGTTTCTCCCTCTCCCCTTCTCCCTCTCTCTCTAAAATCAATAAAAACATATTTTTTAAAAAAGGCATCAGATAATGATAAGTGCTATAGAGAAAAACAAATCAAGCAAGAGGATAGATAGTGGTGGGAAATGTGGCGACTAATTTAGAGTGCATCATCAGTAAAATCTCTACAAAATGCCACAGGAATGATTTGCTTTTAATTATGCTGATCGATCTCACTTTACATTCCTTAAGTTGGCTTCCTTTGTTGCACAGGAATCCTATTACATTTCTTCAGAAAATTTAGTGAGTCACTATCCACCTTTTGTTAATAGAGTTGAAGTGAAAGTAAGTGAAGTAAGGGTACTGTCTCCTGAAATTCTGTGTGTGTGTGTGTTCTTGTATTTACATCCTGGGTAGTGATATTTTGTATTCTATGTTGCTGTCAAAAACATTCAATAGCCATTATCCTAGATTTTACATATTTTCATCTCAAATCTAATTTCCTCCCCCTCTTACTGTCACTATGTAATCCTCTTATTTCACTGAGAATCTAGAAGCAGTCACAAGAGAACCACACTTTCTCATCACTGAACTGTGAATTTCTGTCCACATTATATGTTTGACAAAATCATATTTAATAACTGCAGAGTATTCCATGTATAACATTTTAATTTAAACCATGTTGTTGAGTTCTTGCAGTCATGCGAGCATGCCTCTCAGATCTGGGACTACAGGGAGCACCATTTGCCAAGGACCCCAGCTGCTGTGCTCTGAAATCAATTTGTCTCTCAGTTTGTTGCAAAGTTGCACTTCTTATGGGTCATTCCCAGTGAATAGCTGTGTGCTGGAAATGTGCTTAAGCAGGCCCATTTCATGGAGACTTGGGATTCCTCTGATGAGCAACTTTGGCTGGAGGTCTCCCAGATAGACTTGCAGAACTTTCCTTAGACCAATGCACAACTTTTCCTTTCTTTTCTCATAATCAGACTGCATGGAGTCTGAAGACTCTCCCTGCTTCTTCCAGCTCTTTTCCCATTTTCTCTCATGGACCTTTCTGTTTTTCTAATACATTTCTTTCTTTCTTTTTTTTTTTTTTTAATATATCTTTATTGATTTCAGAGAAAGGAAGGGAGAAGGAGAGAAAGAGATAGAAACATCAATGATGAGAGAGTCATTGATCTGCTGCAGCCCACAACCCGGGCATGTGCCCTGACCTGAAATCGAACCCTGATCTCCTGGATCGTAGGTCGACGCTCAACCACTGCGCCACACCCTGCTGGGCTCTAGTACATTTCCTGCACCCTTATCCCTTAATGACATCTGTTTCTCGGAGGACACAAACTAACACAGACTTTTAGGTTGTCTATAGATTTTCATTCTGTACAATTAAACTTCTGATTGCTCGACTCTTAGCACAGCATTCTTCTACTGAGAGCCCTTCAAATCACTGCGTTGCTCATTAAATTAAGCCTAGGCCCTCCTTCTCACATCTATACTCTGCTCCAGCCCATCTTTCCAAACATTACTCAATGCTCTTAGTCTAGTCTAAGGTCTCCTGACAGAATATTCTCCCACTCATGCTATCACACCTCCTTATCCCATACCCTCAAGAAAACATCTGCCCAGCTGATGCCTCCTTCATTCTGGATCCCTTCTTGACTTTTCTACCCCATGATGTTTTCTTCCCTCCCCATTTTAAAGGTCATGGAAGGGTATTTTCTGCAGTGTAGTCACTCTTTTTGGTATGTTAAAAGGAAGGCAATATAGTCCAGTGGTTAAGTGAATAGCCTGAAATCAGACAGATCTAGATATATTACCATAAAAAAAAAAATTAAAAAAAAGACAAAAAACTAGCTAAGATTGGATATCTTTTGGAAACATTGAACTAAACAAAAATAACCAAAGATTTGTTTTGTTTTATTTTTAATTACAAGTCTTCCCAGAGCCCTTAAAATGCTAATTAATATACACTGTGACTTTCCAAGGTCAGCACTGATACCTTATGTATCTTGTCTTGAATTTATTTCATCACAAAATCTTTTTAGAAACAGATAATCTCCAGACATTATTGTTTCTTGGAAAATATTTTGGAAAAGAGTAAAAGTTGTTGTAGAATTTTGCATGTCTGATTTTTACAGTACTTTGTGTTCTTCATCTTGTTATAACTATTTGTGTATTTATCTTACACATTTTCCCACTTCAGCTTTAGCATAAAATCTTGAAAATAACAGGCACTTTGCTGAGTTGAAAAAATCACTGACTATAGTAAGAATCCGTGGTTTGTAATGTATTTGGTAACTGGAGAAAGTTAGTTTTACATCTACTTTCAGCAGCTTTTTTTGCAGTCTTTTTTTATACCATAGTATCCTGGGCTTCCTTTCTGGCTGGGAGAATTGCTGGGCAAAATGCACTTGTTAACATGGGCTACATCCATTTTCTCTGCAAATCACTTTATTGGAGGAAGAGTATACAAAAGTTGAAGGACATTTTAAGGGCAAGAAAGCAAGGAGACAGCTGACTCTGGGTCCTGGCACCCCTGGGGTGATGAGGAAGTCAGCCCGTGGCTTAGTCCTGTTTGTTTTCATTTCCAAGGGTATGTTTGTCAAAAAGGTACTCTGCCAGCCCACAATCTGGGGCCCCCATCTTAATCAAGTTGTGCACGTGGTCACCTAGTTCTTTGATAGACTTGACCTGCTCATTTAGATAGTGGGTTTCCAGGAAGTCGCACAAATGAGGGTCACCTCTGTCCGAGGCCAGAGTGTGCAGTTCCAGCAACGACTGGTTCACGTTCTTTTCCAAGAGCAGAGCGCACTCCATGGCCTTCAGCCCGCACTCCCAGTCGTCCCTGTCGGGTTTCCTCACGTCCTGCAGGCGGATCCTGCCTCCCCGCTGGTTCTGCAGCCTCATCAGCTTTTCCGCGTGCTGGGTCTCCTCCCGCGACAGGCAGAGGAAATACCGAGCGAAGTTGTTCAGAGCCACGTCGTCCCTGGAGAAGTAATAGGCCATGGACAAGTACACGTAGGACGCGTAGAGCTCCAGGTTAATCTGCCGGTTGATGGCGGCCTCGGAGTCCGGGTGGAAGTTCTGGCGCACCCGCGGGGGGGC